GGATTCTGCATGAGCCAAAAAGCAGAGACAGGACCAATTGTCAAAAGTTTGGTGTCGATCATTCGATTTCATCCTGGACACTACAGAAAATGGGCTAAAAGTGTTAAAAACCGGAATTCCCCTTTAAAGATCTACAGCACTAAATGTACCATTACGTTAAATTCTGATAACCTTTAGTTTATGTCATGATCCGGCAGTCGCTTGATTGGTTGATTAACTGAGTTGTGCATTTACTGGTTTTTTCTTAAAAGTGATGCAGGAGGTCGAATCTGATCAGAGATAACAGTATGTCAATGCTGCATCAGAAGTTACCAGAATTTAGTTATTATTGTGTTCACTAGTTGGAGCTGACTTTTTTTTTTAACATTTTACATCATTTTCTAACCCTCAGAAAAGTGCATTCCTATGTTATGCTTTGGAAAGTAATGACATAGCTCTGCTCCATATTAATAGTATTACCATTTATTCCACTTACGGTTTCTTAATGCTTTCTGTTTTCCTTGCTTCTGAATTAAGCTGCATAAAAATGTTCCAGTATGATTGTGTTTAATATTTTTGCAGGCCTGTATCATTACCATTTTAATGTGTTTCTTGAGATGTTGCTGATGGAAATTGCTGATATGGCGATACGATGCTATTCTCAGAAATCAGGAAATTTAAAGTTACCCAAACTGTTTTTTGATAGCTGTAATCATGCACCCATCTCCCCACAGGAAAAGATCAGCAAAACCAGACACGGTGATCGATTCACTTCTGCAGTGAAGATGTGCAGGATTGGCCCCACTGCAGCTCTCCCCTACACTCCTGCTTTGATGTAACATAAAAGAAGTATTTAGTCCCGCTTATGGTTGAACAGTAATAGACTTTGAGCGCACACTGTATTCATGGTGAGGTTTTAAATGGGATCAGGCAGCACCTTTTTTTCTTTTTAGGAAAACAACCACTAAAGTATAGGATGGACTTTATGTACCTTAGAGCTGGGAAGAATCAGATTGCAAAAACTTTACATTAAAAGACAGCTGCTTGAAGCAGAGCATCACAGTCACAAGTCTCCATGTATTTGTTTTGATTTGATGTGGTAGACCAACAGAAACTAGTGCATAGTTGGGAAGTGTAAACAAAATTGATTATTTTGCATATCCTTTAATTATAGATCTCAGAAATTGTGTTGTACATTTTATGCATCCCTTTAAGTACGCCTAGGCTTCATAGAACCTCATTTAGGTGTGATACTGCACAGACACACACCCTTTACCTTGTATAACAGTGTGTTCATGGTATCTGCAGTGTTAGTTTTTCACATACAGCGGGTGAAAGTATAGAACACGCCACAACAATACCGAGTGTTCAGGGCCCAAAAAAATACTAAGGTCAAGAGCCAGAACTTCTAGGCGTGTTCAGTGGCATGCTCCCCCAGAGAGGTTTTTAATTCTGTCATTTAAACCTGGTAGTTTTCAAAATCTTAAGGAGCAAAAACATCATTGTGACTTTTTAAAAGGCTCAGCTATAAATTTCTCCTCTCCTGTCTCCCCTACCAGCCAGAGTGTCAGGTCTAAGCACCTAAAACATCATACATACATGCAGGGAAAGAAAGAAGGCACAGAGACAATTAATTTAGTTTACTCGTGAGGAGAGTAGGAAGAGACTGCGGAGTTTACAAATCTCCAACCCACTCTGATATTTATTGGAATCAGTGATCCCTGGTTACAACAGCTGAGACTACTTTAGTGACTAGAGACAAAATGAGGAATTCAGACCTTCAGTCTCAGTAAATATCCTATAAATATCAAGAGTGCAGTCAAAATTTACGCTGTTGAACCTGTTCACCAAAGTTCAGCAGGTCGAGTGCTGCTCGTAGATCAACCACAACCTCCCCAAAAGCAAATCTACATACTTCAGAAAAGATGGCTATAAACACATGCACATAGCACACAGCTTTATGCATGATAACACCACAGAGATACATTTATATACAATTATTCCAACACAGACATTTCAGACATTATAAACCTGATTTAATGTCATCTTTCTTTTGAAGCTTGGTTAGAAATGTCGCAAAAGACATTACAGTATATTTAAAATTAGTTGCTTCATAATTACTTGAGCTTTTAAAATAGACACCCAAGGGTTTTCGCGGGTCATTAAAAATCATTAAAAGTCATTTCAATTGTTATTTTTTAAATTAAGGCCTTAATTGGCAAAAAAATTCATTAAATGTGTTTATTGTAGCATTTAAATTCTTTCTTAAAAAAAATGTTTTGTATAAGAACACTTTCGTCAGACACATTATATCACGATGTGTTTGCGTGGAACTGCTTCCGGTTGATCGCAGAGACGTATGTTCGGGAAAGTAGCTTGAGTCGGAGAAAAAGCTAGAGAATGGGGAAGAATGCCAGTTTCAACAAAAGTGGTTGGAAAACGAGGAATTCGGGGCATGGATGCAGCCTGTCGACAGGTACCTGTTGGTGGCATTAAAATTATTTCTAAGAGCATTAAAAAGCATTAAATTAGAGTTATTAATTCCTGTATAAACCCTGCACCCAGACCCTGTTACACTATTATGTTGGTAATGGTGCCTAATATAACATATTTCTATTGTAATCTTACACAATACTTCAGTTATCACACATTATACATCAAATTTTTGAAACCGCTCAGGTGCAGCATCTTTCTTTTCTAGCACCTTCTCTCCCTCTATCTCTCTCCTCACTGCTCCTCCTGCTGCTCGGCCCAAAGTTTGGTTACACTCAGCCTTTTCCTCCTTATCCTGTTTTCCCTTTAGTGAAGAATAGCAACAAAGTGATAGAAAAGAAAACAATATGCATTTCAACATCATGTTTGAATTAGTTTTATTAGAAAATGAAATTATACTGAATTAGTTTCCCATGTTTCAGAGGAGCCCAGTGTCAAAGAATTAAATAGTAAAACTAGCTATTAGCAAGTATAAATATTAAAAAAAAGAACATGCTAATTTACTCATGTCAATGCCGTCTGCAATGAGCAACATCCAACACTGAGAAATTAAACGCTGAGTAAAGTTTCATTTATCGCACCGTTATCAACAACTCATTAAGCTGTTCTCCGCCTACATTAGCAGCTCGATGTGCTCCTCTTCAAGTGACTGATGGACTCATGAGGCGGTGGCTTGTATGTGGCAGTTACTGTAGCGACAATGCGTGCTGACTCAGGATGATTGAACAGCTTCTTTTTTATTAGTTAGTTGCTCTAGTTTCGCTCTTCAAATATAAAACAACTCACAGGTTAGTGAGAGTACAAGATCATCGTCTTACAACCAGTTTCACTGTAATGTATTTTAGTTTTTTATCACAACTTGCAATAAATAAATTAATGAAATTCTAAGGACAGGACCTCAGAGTCCTCAATGTTAGTGATGGCCCTGTGTGTGTTCAATACTTTTTCCCTGTGCCATTCCACTATTACACATTATTTAATTTCTGGACATATGGTTTGATTTCTCTGTATGTGTGGATTGCATGGATTGCTACCAACATCTGGTTAAAATGTCATGTCAATAGCAACTCTATATATTTACAGAGAAAAATGGTGGCGTGGTCAGTAATAATTTCACTCACTGTAAGGCGGCTAAAGAGCTTAATGTTTTGCCATCTTTCCTTCATGGCTTGTTCATATGCGAACAGGGCTATAAATCAGCAGAGGCTTCCAGAAACCACCAGATGTATGAAGTGAGCAGGTAACAGTTGTCCTGTCAGCAGTTTCTCCCACCTGAGCCGTGGATCTGTGCAGCTCCTGCAAAGACTCTTAGCTGCTTCTTAAGTTAAGACCCTGGTAGCCTGGCCTGTCAGCTGGGGTGGAAAACCATGAAAAGTCTCTTTTGAGGTTTTGAGGTTATAGTTTGTGTACTTTCTGTAAGCTGTTTTAGGTTTGGGATCATTCTTTGTTCAGTAGCTCTGCTTCATGTCTTTGCACAATTCTACCCTGCCTGCTTTCTTCATCAAGTTACTTTTTAATTAATGTTCTCTAAAGCAGCGGTCCCCAACCTTTTCTGCGCCGAGGACCGGTTATGTCTGACAATATTTTCACGGACCGGCCTTTAAAGTGTGGGGGTAAATACGATCAAATAAAATGATACAACTGGCATAAAATGAAATACAAACAGCATGAAAATAAAACTCACGATTATGTTGAATTAGTGGGAGCCCTGAGCTTATTTCTCCAAAACAAACCGGTCCCATTTAGGCGTAATCGGAGACAATGACACGCGAATTGTGCCCCTGATGTCCAGTCTGCTCCATAGCTTTGTTTTGGTCGCTGTAACCGCAGAAAATCCCGCTTCACAAAGATAGGATGTTATAGATAGGATGCGTCTTGACCTGAATTAACCTTTGTCAAGAGGCACAGGTGCACCGACTGATGTAATTGGGAGATAATACCCCAATGTCTTATATTTTTCAAAATAAAACATCACTCAGACTCTGATCGTCGATAAATTATAAATATATATTTTTTTCTGTGCGGCCCGGTACCAAATGACCGACGGACCGGTACCGGTCCGCGGGCCGGTGGTTGGGGACCGCTGCACTAAAGAACCTCTCTAAACCTCAGAAGAGGATTTGAACTTGATTTTATCTAAAATTAGGGCTGTCCAGAAAAATGCATGTTGCACTTTTCAAATTTAGTTTTTGCACTCCTAAAACCACACATCACATTCATTCCACTTTACAATCATTCCCTAATTTAGTTGGTCTATCATAAAAATAAAGCACATTTAAGATTTTGGTTGTTGTAAAAAGGAGAAATTAAATAGATGATTTTGTAAGGTGCTGTAGTGAGAAAGTTTGAAATGAAAGGACCCAGCTGGCCTACAAGCCACATGCATATCTGCTCAGATGTATCCTGTTAACACATTTAGTCCTCACATATTGAACTCTTTGCTCCTAGATGAACAGATTTATGTTCATGAGATGATTGAATGGTTTCACTGGATTCCAGTTAAAACCAAATTATTCTACTGTACAAACAAGCAAACACTTTACATTCAGCCAAAGTGCATAAAGAGTTTTGTTTTTAGGTCAGAAGCATTAAGAGCTTGCATGCTGTGTAGCTCTTATGTCTGCACCATTTCCTACACTTCAGTCACCTTTTTATTTTCAACCCTTATTGTGATGCATACAGATAGATGAATGGCTCTTTATGCCTTACTTGCATAGCTTTTGCTAAATGTGTTCTTTAGTGAATGTGAAATTGATTTTTTTTATTATTATTATAATTGTAGTGTATGTCACATGTTTACTAATATCTGTTTTTTATTTAATAAATTATTATTCATGCCTGATCTCAGATTCGTGTTGCTTTCTTGATGGAATAGTACACAGCTTTTTTATGAAAACACACACCAAGTTTACATAAGTGACGCATCTTAAAGTAAAGATCCCAGTTTGGCTTGTTGTAATAATAGAAACAGATTTGCATCAAATTTTCATCATCACATTTTGATTTATTTATGTATAAAAACATAAAAGGTACTTTACTGAAAAGACAAACAGGTAATAAATATAAAGAATACATTAAATAAATAAAACATCACAATTAATAACTTAAGGACAGCCTTTTAAGCGTCTTAAATTGGGACACTTGAAGGCTCTGCATGCACATTTGTCCAGTTCGCAAAGAAATTGTTTTAGTGTTTCTTGGGGTTGACCCTTTTGCAGCTGGCATTGTCCTTCATTGGTCTGAAAAATAGAAAATAATTTTGAATTATTTTATTATATAAAAGCCCCTCAAATGGACAGCAGATGTGTTTCAATTTCACTTTAAATTCTACATATTTTGATTGATTTGATTCAGAGTATCCAAATGATTCTCACCCAGTTGTTGTATCTATTTAACAGCTCGGGTAGCTTTCCCAGTATTTGCTTCACTGTCTTGTTCTTACAAGATTCCTCCTCCAAAATCTTCTCAGCCAAACAGAAGACATGCTTCTATAAGACAGAAAAATCATTAATTGTTACCAACAACATTTGGAAGTTTAGCCTTAGATAAAGTATACTAACAATCTTTACATCTAACTCATTTAAAACCCAACAAAAGCTCTGGGGGAACCTAATAACAAACATTAAACTCAAATGTGAAGAATACATTTCAGCTTGACATTATTTAATCATAAATTTTGCAAAGTTTAAAGGAATTTAACCTTTTGTAAATACTGAAATAGGTTAAATACCATGAATCTGTATGTAGTTTAAGATTGATGGATTCAGTTAAAAGGTTTCAAATAATTACTGCCAAACAATTAAAGACAGGCATCCAAGAAATATAGTTTCCAACTTACCACACATTTGACTCTGTTTCCTTCTCCTATTGTTGTAACATATGTTTTATTCTTATAATAAAGAAAAAAAGGTAATTATTAAGCAGACCAGAAAATAAAAAGAAATCTGAGAGTATGTCTTTTTCCTTTTTCTTACCAATGCTGGTTGATTCATTGCATTCTTGATAGATTGCCGTATTTCCTTCAGAAGATGGACACAATGGGTTTGGTTCTTTGTACAGTTGTGCACTAACTCTCCATGAACCAGAGCCACTATCGTCAGTGTAAATAGAGCGGTATACTGGTTCAGAACGGTCCACATGTCTGTCTCGCAGGAACTTTAGCGTTAGCTGTTTCAGGTTCAGCAGAAGAGTTCAATTCTCCTGCATAGCCTCAATACTGTCGCTTATATCGGCGTCACATTGACTGTGGTCACAGACACGTCATTGAGAGGAAAACACCAAATTGGGACAGGATGATGTAGAAGTCTTATCTTATCTAGTTTAACTTTCAGATGTTCCACTATATACTTGTTAGTTACTCAGAAATCAACTCCTCCAAGAACCACAGGTCATCACCTTTATTTAGATGTGTCACTTTCTTTTGCCTTTTAATTCAGTTTGTATGGGAAGTGACATGAAGGCCCTTTTATAACTTCCACATTGTGATCTATCAAAGCTAGAAGAATTAGGATGAAATAATGCAACCATTAAGAAATATCCTACGTATAGCCTTATTAAAGTGATGAGTGTCACTGGTTGTTAATTTATTAATAAAGTAACATACTTTCCCTGTGTGACATGGTGAAATGACTGCAGTGTGTGTGGGCACATGGCAAGCTTTAAACTTTAACCCACACATTATAAAAGGGAAAATTTTAAATAAAAAATCCCTTCCAGCATGACTTTATGCATGTCTCTGGACCTCGGGACTAATATTTGTTCTGTGCACAAAATATTAGTTTATATAAATTATCTAACCATGAAACACAACTGCAAATATTAGAAGCTGCAACTGCAACTTTTCTGTTTCATCTTCGTAGCTCTGTTTTTAGAGTTTGTGACCACAAAAGCTGTTCCTGGACTTATATCTTTGAAAAAATCTAAGATCCTCTTCACCACACATTACAGCTCATGATGAAACATATTTGCACTTTTGCATCTCTGAGTGACACCAGTTTGAGCTCCACCTGCAGGTAACAGGAATATTCAGAGTAATCATTACCAGCTACAGTTTATTTAAAATGAAGGAGATGGTCACTTAAAAAAAGGCTGTTTCTTAAGGCTTCACAAATTTTGGGTCTAAACCCCGTTAGGGCATCATGAGATGATTCTCCCAATCATTTTAGTGGGTTCTTTGGGGTGTATAGATGGCCAAAGTATATCATGAAATACATACATGAATTTGCCATGAAATGAATAAATGTAGCATTATTTATCTAGAACACCTCTCAAATATTAAATATACCATTTAATTGTAAAATGTTTAATTAAGTATTCCATTAAATAAAAAATATTTATTATTATTTTTGTAATATAAAGTTTATTACTTCAACTATTTATATTTTTAAGGGGTTGCAAGTCTATTGCATTATTGTTTTTGGAAATACACAGGCTGAAATAAATGCTGAAACAGCAGTTTTTGGTTCCACTAATGCCACAGCTGCAGAATCCATAATTCACTTAGTCTGAACATGTCTGACAACATGAAATAGCAAATAAAATCTCTATAAAATTTCCCAAGGTAACACATATACCTCAATCAGTCTGGAAGGGGTTACACAACATAAGGTTCAAAGATTATAAGTTAACCACAGGAAGAGCCACTCTCTGCAAATGAAAGGAGCAGTGATGATCATTTGGCAATAAGAAAGAAACTGAGCAAGCAAAAAAATCACACCTAAGTAGAAATCTTAGGCAAAAACCACTGACTGATCAAACAAAACAATCGGACATTTTAGAAGGTGTGAGTTCTCTAGAAGAGAAGAAAATAACATTTCACAAAAGGAACATCGACAAGACAGTCAAACATTTTGGCAGTTTGATGATCTTGGCCATTTTACAATTGATGGAACCACGAATTTCCCCCTCTTGTGAAAAATCCAGAAGGAGAGTAGTCATCTGTCAGTTTGTGATGTTCAGCTAAAGCAGACTTGGTTTATGCAGCACGACTTATATTCAGATTAAATCAGTAAAACTACCTTTTAACAATATTTAAAAAAAAATAGAGTGGCCTTGCAAAAGTGAGCCTCTTAAATGGAATTATGTATGGAAAGAATATAGATTATGGACACAGATTATGTTCTAATCCAAATGTTTTCGCACAGGATTCACTTCAAAGGGTCATGGATAATAAAGAATCCTAAAGTAACCTTCCTCTGCCACTCAAAACCTGTTTACTGTGTGTTGTGGATCATCGTTCTGTTGTAGCATCCAATCCCATCTGGCTTTCAAATGCTTCGCGGTTAATCTGAGATGGATTTGGAGGTTTTCCATAGCCTTCATTTTTTCACATAGATTATGCCACCCAGCTGTTCTAATCTGAAAAAAGACCCCGAGCATGATTCTACCATCACCCTGCTCAAAACTTGCACAGGATTCTTGGGCTTCAAAGCCTCTCCTTGGCAACCATGTTTCCTGTTTTTGTGAATAAACAACTCTCTGTCACGTCTTTACAAGAAAGTTTTTAATGGAATTTATGTAAGCAGCTGAAAAAGTCAGTCCAGGTTGAAGAGTTTATTTTGGACTGGGGGATTGTGATGGCTGCATGTGCAACCGCACAACAAATATTCTGGTAATTCTTTCATTAAATAAATCTTAAATCAAATTTTTTTTTATTTGATTTGACATTGGTTAACTATTTGGATGCACACATTTAGTTGACTAATTTTGCGATTTCTTGCTTGTTTGGTTTTCTGTACATTAATATATTTTTCATTTGAGTTGCCATGGCCAGTAAAGGAAAGGAGACCCCAGCTGCAAAGGATCTCCTCATTGACATGGAGGCCTAATTGGACTCTTCCATTTACTTTTAGAAGGGTTTTAGGAAGGGTTTAGGTTTCTTTATTTGGTTTTGTTTCCTATAATTAATTTGGAAAGTTTAATATTAAAGTCCTCTTCCTCATACGTTGCTGATTTAGTATGGTGCTGATTAGTTTGGTCTTTTGTTGTACCGGTAGTTTCGTTTAGGCAAATGTGTTTTATGTTTCCCTCTTGTTTGAAAATGGTCTGGTCAACCAGTGTATATACAGTAAGTTTCCCTTGTGGGTCAGTTAGGTAGGTCTTTTCCTGTGTCAGGTTTGTATTTCGCTGATTTTTGTTATTTCTTTTCCTTGATTGGCCCAGTCTTGTTAGAAGTTTGAACTTTATTTTTTGCTAAATAAATTTTTTCCATCAATGACTGCCCTGTGCTTCTCTGATTTTTTTGGCTCGGTCCCTCACAGGGATCCTTTCTTCCTATGTCTTAATGGAAGCTAAAGACCATAAAATTAGTCTCTGACCTGTAAGCTAAAGTAAATAACATATTAAATCTAGGCGAGCTTTAAGTTTGACAAAGTTTACATTATAGATGAGTTACAATTAATAAAAATTTAACATCCAGTTGTTTTGAAATTCATTTCAAATTTTTGCTGTTGTATAGTCCTCAAAAATTATGTTTAAAAGCCCCAAATAAACAGATTTATGTCCACAATGAGTATATTTATCTCTGCGGCTCATTGAGTCATCTATCAGGACAAGGTTAGCTCTTGGTCAACCTCATTTCTGTCTTTTCAAGCAGCTTCTATACACCTGTTTCTTTGAATGTCTGTTGTTTGTTTTATTTCTTGTTCTTAAATGTATATTATGCTTATTGCATTTATTTTCAAATGCAAAAAGGCAGCTTTACATCTGGAAGCTTATTGTTCAGAGCATCAGTTGTTCTCTGTAATTCTGTTCAATTTAAAAATGCTTTATTGATCTCCAAGGGAAATGAAATGTTGCAGTAACTCAGGCTTTTTATGCTCACTGTTGTCCACAATATTCTTTATTTTAGGAAGTCTTCTTTGTGAAATCATCGCCAGAGGTTCTAGAGGATATCCTAAAACAGAGCCAGTCTACTTCTTGAGCGTTTTTAGGTCATTTTCTGTTATGCTGTTACCCCAGCAGAGGATGGAGGGAGAGATCAGACTCTCTAAAACAGACTGGAGAAAGATTTGCAGCATCTTGTTCCAAACACTAAAAAAGGACCTTTGCATTCTAAAGAAGTCCAGTCTGCTCTGTCCCTTTTTGCTTCACAGCCCTCTCTTCAGTCGCATTTGTTGTCCAGGTGAACACCAAAGTTCATACTCCTCCACTACCTCTACTTCTTTTACCATGAAGTGAACCCGATTCAAATTGTTCCTGTTTCTTCTGAAATCTTGTTTTGTTGACTTCAGGATCAGATGGCTCCCACACCATGCCACAAAGCAGTCCTCCAGCTCCTGGTACTCAGCTTTTAGCCCATCTTTGATGCATGCAACGACTACAGGGTCATATGAGTATTTCTGCAGATGACAGGATTCTGTTTGTACTGGAAATCAAAGGCGTACTGATCAAAAAGGAATGGTGAGAGTACCATCCCCTGTGGTGCTCCTGTACTACTGACTACCTGGTTAGACAGTTGATCCTTCAGTCTCACAAAGTGGTCTGTTTGTCAGGCAGGCTGAATTCAAATTCATGGGCTGTTTCTTCCAAGGAGGTGGTCTACCTGGACTGGATCCTTTAAGGTCCGTGAAAATAAGGAGGCTGGAAGAATTTGGTCTGTGAATTCAAACAGGTCTAGTCTTCCGCTGCTTTCGCCGCCAGTACGCTTTGTCGCCTAGCAACTGTGAGAGCTGACAGACAAAGCTATTTATTTTTAATTTATTTTCTTTTTTTATATTGTAAAGTAAAAAAGAAAAGACTAAACTCGTGAGAATACTGAGTGGAATATAGGTGACAAATAAAAGCAAATGTAATGTTTTTTTCCCCCAGCTTTTATTGTCATTACACTGTCACAAGTACAGAGCAACAAAATGAACTCTCTGCATCTACCTCATCCCCTTGGGGAGTAGTGGGCTGCCATTGTGCGGCGCCAGGGAGCAGTGTGAGGTTATTGGTCTTTGCTCGAGGACCTAGATTGGCATTATGTGGGAGTGGGGCTCAAACTCAGAACCTCTGGATTCCAAGTTCTATACCCTAACTCAGGGGTTGGCAACCAAAGGTCCAATATGGCTCTTTGAGCCATATTGGACCAAAAAACAAAAAAAGAAATCTGTCTGGAGCCGCAAAAAAAAAAAAAATGCATCGTATGGCAACATGGGCTCTAAGTGTATTATCCGACTATGTCGGCTTAAATTAATAATAAGCATTCATTATTAAATGTTAATCCTGGAGCAAATGTCACATAGTATCATTAGGTGAGGGAGGAGCAGTGAACGCTCTCACCGCGCAGTATAGGTTTTGTTGCATTGATGAAATTATAGAAACACAATAAAGGAATCTTTCTATGGTTGACGTATTTCTGTTGGGAGGAGTTGATTGAGTCATGAGGAACCAAGCAGGCACTGGCATCCATCAGAGCAGTGCTCTCTAACCATGAAATCCCACATCCTCCATCATCAGTGTTCCTTGGTGGGATTTATTTATATGATATAAAAGGGTGAGAAAAATATAAGTAAATCTAAACAATGTATGTATGAAAAATATATTGGCAAAATCTTTTATATTCACGACAAAAAATACTAAGCAAATTGTGCAAAATAGCAAATAAGAAAATAAAAGTCTTATCAGATTTATAGTCC